GGCCAGTCCCCTGGCCGGCCGAGGAGCCGGGGCGGCGCTGCCCCCTCTTAATTAATGGCTTTCTCATCAGCGGGTCCCGGGGGCGAGGAAAGCAGAGGAAGTTTTCTTTTGCTGGCAGATGCCGGGGAGCAGGGGGAGCGCCTGGGCTGGGTGGCGAGGGCAGGGGGGGACGTGCTGGGGTGATGGATGGGACCTCGGCTTTTCGGCCAGGCTCTGGATGCGGGCAGCTCATCCCGGTGAGGAAGAGAGAGGGGAAGGGGGATACGCTGCGCCTGGAAAGTACTTTTCCCTCTGATGAACTTCAGAGGAGCATAAATCACTGCCAGGGTGCAGCTGCGGAGCATGTGACGCTGGCAAATGAATGGTCCTTCGGCCACCGAGCCGCTCTCCTCGCCTCTTAAAGGCACAGCCGGCGGGTGGGCCAGCCCTCGCCTACGAATCGGGGGTCAGGGCTGGGCTGGGGGAGCCCCGTGAGCCCACCGGCCGGTGGGCCAGCCCTGGCCTAGGAATCGGGGGTCAGGGCTGGGCTGGGGGAGCCCCGTGAGCCCACTGGCCCCTGGGTGAGCTGAGGCTGCACGTGTCCGTGGAGGAGAGAGGCTGTGAGGGGTCCTCAGAGCTCGCCGTGGTGCGAAGCTTTCCGTGGTGCAAAGCTCTCCACGGTGCAGAGTCCTCCATGGTTCAAGGCTCTCTGGTGCAAAGCTTTCCAGAGTGCAAAGCTCTCTGCAGCAGGAAGCTCTCTGTGGTGCAGTGTTGTCCGTGGTGGGCTCCTGCTCTGCTGCCCATGGTCCCAGTACAAGCAGGACTGGGATGCTCCTGGGGATGTTGTTTTGTCCGAGGTGCCTTGGGCATGGGGTGGGTGCCTGCTGGGGGCTCCTGGTCTGTGTGTAGTGGTGCCTCTGGTGCACTCTCACCCACCTGGGCTGTTACCCAGGGGCACTGACCACCCTCCCAGTGCAGCAAGTGGACAAGCAGAGGACTGTGGGGCATCTTTCTCACGGTGGCATCAAGGCCACCACATGCCACGGCTGGTTGTCCATACGAGCCATGCACACCTCACAGGAGAGTGGCTGCAGGGCTGGAGGGCCGTCAGAGGCTCCCTGGCTCACCCAGGGCCACCTGGGCCACCAGCCAAGTCCCAGCCTGCTGCCTGCCCATCACGTCATCTTGCTGCTCTCCCTCTTGAAAGCAGAGTGGTGGAAGAAGAGGGGAATCCAGCACTGCAACTTCTGCCCACAGCTGCTGGTATGCAGGAGGGGGAGGGAGCTGAACCACCAGCAGAACAGTTAAAAATTACTAAATCCTTCCCTAATATAATTAGGTTGCCAGGCAAGCGTTGCCCTGATTGCCAGAGGGCCCTGGGGCCAGCCTGGGCTGGTGTTCCACAGCCCAGCAAAGCTCTGGGCTGAACCCAGGAGCTCGTGGGGGGAGATGTCCCCTGTGAAGCCCAGGTAAGGATCTGCCCCACAATGATGGAGAAGTAATGAAAAGTGTTTTGGAAACTGGAGGGAAGTGCTGGTGGGGGCTCAGCAGGACCTGTTGCTGGGAGAGGAGCTCAGAGGCTACCTGGACACACTGCAGGTGAAGTCAGTGTTTATTCTATAACTGCTGTTGGAGCAGGGAAAGCTGGGAAGAGAAAAAAAAACCCTGAGCCCACTCTGTGATTTACGTGGTAAAGGAGATAAGTGGGGATTTAAAGAGCAGGGAAGATATAATTGAGACCAACGTGTAATACGAGCAGGGATCCCAGCAGGGAGATGGTAATCAGAAGAGTGAGGAGAAGCTGAAGGCTTATTAATGAAACTCTCATCTATTTGTGGGCTGAAGAGGAGCAGCCTTTCCCTGGCAGCTGGGGGTAGCAGGGGTAGGGGCTGCCACCTTCCTGCCCTGCTGGATGGTGCTCAGGATGAAGGCAAAAGCAGGGTTAGGGGTAGAAAAGAAATCCATGGTGTTTAGGAAGCTGGATGTTGGTATTTTCCTCACCATAGTCTGCCATCAATGTTGGGAGTTGGCAGAGCTGCTGACCCTGTGCCAGCCCCTGGGTTGGCTTGTGGAGCCAAGAAACCCTCAACAAACCCTGCTTGGGTAGACTGGAGGCTGTGGTCTGGTGCAGGCTCATCTAAGCCAGCTTTGGAGGAGATGTTGGTAGCTGTGTGGAGAGCCTGAGTTCGTCTCACTGGTTTTTCAGTAGCCACGTGGCTGGGAATTTAGGTGGTTTGCTCTTGCTCTGTGGTTTGGTGGGTCTGCTACCCAGGTAGCATGTGGCATGGCTCACCAAGAGCCTGTTGTAGGGGTGACACCATCAGAGATGCACACCAGAGCGTGGTGGAGTCACCTTATTTCATCCTCCACATGCTCACTTTTAGCCCTACCCCAACACTGCTGTTGGATCATCTCCATCCGTTGGGGTTCCTCAGGCAGGAAGATGATGCTGGTGGTGTCCAAAGGGTTAACCTGGGGCTGTACACAGCTCCGGCAGGGAAAGGCTCTGGCTGTACAGAAAGAGAACATTTTTGGAAGGGTCCTTCCCCTTCCCAGGCCCTGGCAGTTATCTGTGGGCTGACAGAACTCCTGGAACACAGAGACCCACTGGACATTGACCAGTCCGTGCCGAGCTCAATTAGCTGAAGCTATCTGATTGGACTTGGCGCTGCCTAATTAGCTTTGGACTCGAACCAGAAACTCAAACCCAAAGGCAGCTTGCAGGCAGTCAGTCCATCCTTTGCTGCAGCCTGCCTGAGGGGGAAAGGCTTTTCCAAGGCTTTTCCAAGGCTTTTCCAAGGCTTTTCCAGGTCTCTTCTCCTCCCTGGCCACCCATCCTGCTGGCCGCGTGGTTGGTGTTGAGGAGGGTTAAACCTTCCCTTCTGCCCAACGTGTGTTACTGAACCCAACAAGGTCATGTAAGACCAGAGGCAGCTTCTTCCTCTTGCAAAATGTCGTGTGCCATCTAGTTTCCAGAGGGAACTTGATTTTATTGAAGGTGACCTGGCTCTGGCAGCTGCCTTTGCTGTCTTGTCAAGGACCCAGTTCTCAGGGTCCTTCTCCTGGACTTCTGTGAAAAAAGTGAGTGGTTTGTCCCTGAGGTGACCAGCTTGCTCCAGAGCATGCTCTGGTCATCAGTGGAGATGTGGAGAAGGAGCTGAGATGGGAAGGAATGGCTCTTTTGGGACCCCAAGATCCTTTGTCCATCTTGATTTCCAGCTCCGTGTTCTCTGTGAGAATTAGAGCACAAAAATGCTGGTGGGAAGGGACCTCCAGGAATCTGTTGACCAACCCATTGCCAAGCATGGGCTGGGACGTTGGGAATTTCTCCAAGGAGACTTGGTGAATGGTGTTCCCACGGGCTGCCCTTGCACAGCTGCCCACAGCAGAGCCTTCTGGAGGGGTGGCTCATCCCACCTGGATGCTCAGGAGAGGTCTCCTTGGCTAGAAGATACCTTGTGCCCGAGCTCTGCTTGCTAGTTCTCAGCTGAGAGGTGAGGAAACCCATGTGGTCACCTGCTGGCATCCAGCACCCCCCAAGGAAAACTCCCAGAAGTGGTTTTCTAGGAAAGCAGTTGGCCACGTTGCCTTCTGCTGGCCACGGCGTGGCTGGTGGCAGCACAGCTTTGGGGTGCTGGGATGCCAGCTGCCTGCCGGAGGCCAGCCCCAGCCCCAGCCACGTTGGGTCAATTAGAGCCCATTATGCCAAGTGAATGGCTGTAATTATCTCAAATCTGGATTAATGGGCGTGCACAGCACCGTAATATCATCGTCTGGCCGGCGGCTTGTGGCCGTTGCTCCTGGAAGCCAGGGGTGGAAGGAGATCCTCAGAACACGGCTGCATCCTCCTTCTCTCCCCTCCTGCTGCCATCTCACACCCCGAGGATGGAGCTTGTCCCACGGGGCAGATCCTGCACACCTGGGGCAGATCCTGCCCACCTAGGGCAGGGCCTTTGGAAGCCTCGTGGGCTGGTGGTTGCTCTCAAGGCTGACCTCGGGTGGGAGCAGAGCCTCAGGTCCTGCCAGCACCTCTGCTCAGTCCCCAGAGTGAGCCAAACCAGGGGAATGGAGCGTGTTCTCCAGGCCCCTGTCCCTGCCTGCTTCACCCAAGAGCATTTTAGGGCTCAAGGTGGCAGCTCCCCGAGGTGAGGAGCCTGCTTAGCTCCAGGTCTGAGGCCATCTCCTCTCCATGTCCACCCTCCTGGCTCAGGGTGGGGACAGGACCCAGGTGCTGGGGATGGTGGGTGGGATGGGATGGGGCAATGGGGCAGTGCATGGTTTGGGTTTGCTGGTGAGTTGGGCACGTGCCACACGTGTGGCTTGTTCCCCTGAGGTCCTGGGGGGACCACGAGAGGAAACTTCTCCTCTTTCTGCTAGAGCCAGGCTGATGCTTTCCAGCTCCCCTTGTGCCTCGCTGGATCCTGCTCAGTTTTTCATAGCTCAGAGCGTAGCACCCCCTCAAGGGCAATTAGATCACTTCCAATTTGCCAGTGAGCCCATAAAACTGCAATTGAATGTAATTAAAAGGCCATAATGAGCTTCAGCAACCTGCGGGACCACTGAGATTTCACTCTCACCGGTTGGAGAACGGGATGGAGCTGGGGGGGCTGTGAAGGTTGGTGTTTGCCAGGGAGGATGAGGAGCT